ATTCACTAATTATTTTGTCCTAGCATCATATCTATATTGGCTCAGAAAAGTAGTCAGAGACAAGATCAATGATATAATTGTTTTCCTCCCTTAAATCCTATAGTTATGGATATACAAAAGCAAAACAATCTACCAAACTTCAATTTCTATATAATAAATGTAGTTACCTGTGTAAATTCTTTTTTAAAAAGCATATGCGATGATCCTCTTGGTTGCTTCATTAACTGCAGATTGAATGATTGAATTGCTACTTTGTCTTCATTTGAATCGTGCTTTTGAAAGGCTTGTTTCACAGTTTCTTCCATACTAGCAACCTAGAAATCACAAGGTATTTAAATTCATTGGTTTTGCATTTCTGAATGTATAAACTCCAAAATTCTGCATCATTATATACTGAACTTATCATTGCCGATGGACCTGACTGTGAGGCCTCTGCATGTGAATAAAAAGAGGAAGTATCTCCTTTAGCTTCCATTGTTGTAGTCTCCTCTTGAATGCTTTCAGCGCTCTACAAAAGTACCAATGCATATACAAGTGTGCTAGGCCCTTTAATTATAATCTAGCTTTATCTTTATTACAACATGAAAATTTGGTTGAGACAATATATGTGTTGTCGATATTTTAATACTGATTTACAAAGATGTAAATGAGTGGTACTTGGTATTTAAACTTACATAAATAAAACTTATCATTGTAGATGGACTAGATTGTGATTCCTCTACTTGTGAATAAATGAAAGATGCATCTGTTTTAACTTTCATAATGGTGATGTCCTCTTGAATATTTCCAACGCTCTGCATAAGTACCGAAAACGTGTGAGGTCATTTAATTATAACCATTAGGTTCTACCTTCTATTTTTTGTGAAGAGTTCAAGCATACAACATATGTCTTTTCTGCAAGTCCTTGCTGGTTTATCATGATTGTTCCACTTGACTTTTTCTTTGTCAAGTCTTAAAACAAGCCGTGAAAAAAAAAGATACATTTTCTTTTAGCGATCTAGCATATTCCTAGGCATAATAACACAGTAATCAACAACCAATGGAAACTCCTCTTGTAGAGCAGTGATTGATGCTGCGGATAAATTCCTCGATGCTAAATCAGTGAATAGGGTTTCTAATATAGCATCCTTAGAGGTAGGCCCTTCTTGAGCTCTTTCTTTTACAATGACATCAATACTCTGTGTAGCGCAAAAGGGTGGTTAGTAATCATAATGCAGCTTCAAAAACTGTTGGGATACAGTAATTATAACGCACATCATCATTAAATGGTATTTTGGTTTTATCAGAAACTTCAATGGATATCTTTGTTTCTCCAAGATCTTGCTGTTGGCCCAACGAAGTTGCTTCATGTGCTGACTGTTCATACTCCAACTCCTATTTGAAGCATTGAACATTTAGATGCAACTCCTCATGATGAAATTGAATTGGGAAATATCCGGTGTAGTTCATATGTTGCTGTATTAGAAAAGGGCAATGGACTTACTTGCGCAGAATCATTTCTAGTGTTGACGAATGGTCTAGTGGACTGCTTCCTTGAATTTGAATTAGTTGGTAGAGTTGCTATCATGGCATCCTCTATCGCATAATTCTCTTGGAGACTTGATTTTATCTCTTTGACACTCTAAGTAATCTAAAAAGAAACGCAAGAGAAAGGAAGTATTTTTCAGTTTCATTTATTGCATGTGCAGATAATTCCTTACTTTGGCCACATAATGAAAGATATCGAGAAATTGTTGTTTCAGGATGGTCTTTTTGTTTTTCCCCCTACATCCAGGAACACAAGTTCTTGTCAATAATAGATATAGGGTTTGATTATGTGGTTTCTCCCCTAATATTTTTATTTTGAAATCTTTTTTAAAACATTAAAATCATGACAATGTATTAAAAGGCATATTCATTGTACATAGGTAAAAAATTACATTTAAACTTTTCAGGTTGTTACACAAATTGTTATCTATGTATAGTTCATTTAGGTTTTGTTGGTTGATGAAGTTCAATTTTTTAAGGAAAACGACAAATAAATGACATTTGAAATTTCAAATTCTAAAATCATGACACCAATTTACAAAATTTCAAATTAATATTCATGACTAAATTGAAAATTTTAAATGTTGGTGATTTTATAATATTTCCTTTTATCTGGAAAAAAAGCCATCATGACCGGCAACCGTAGGGTCAAAGCTCCGACGATAGGGTCGCTAGTGATGTGGCTTTGTTTTTTATAAAATAAAAGGTAATATTCTAAAATCACTAACATTTTAAGATTACACTTTGAGCATGAGTATCAATTTAGGATTTTTATAAATTCATGTCACCATTTTAGAATTTGAAATTTAAAATGGCATTCATTTGTCTTTTCCTGCTTTTTTAATTTACTTTACATACAGAACACAACATCTCAAATTTTAAAGCTATGAATTAATAAAATTTTTAGGAGGCTTATTTAAGGCCTTAAGAAAATACTCCTCCGGTCCTAAATGTAAGACCCTTATACAAGTGTGTATAAGGGTCTTACATTTAGGACCGGAGGAGTAATTTATTCACTAAACACTCATTTTTGGATAATAAATTTAGGAAAATCAATGGAGAAATAATTATTAAACTTATATAAAGGTCTTGAATGATTAAGAAAAATATTACAGATAATCATTTCGGGAAATGAATAATATTATAGAAGAGCTTACTTCCTAAAAAGAAGTACAAATAATTTTAAAGCAGATTTTTGTGATCGAAACTTATTTTCTTGAGAAATTCAAGAAAAATAATTACAGGTTAACTTTTAGTTCAAAAATTTTAAGTAAATTAATTTATGGTCTAAAGAAGCTAAATGAGGAAGAAAATACTGTGCTGAGGATTAATTTGTAGAAATTATCCACCGATATAGAAAATTCCATAGAAGGTTAAAATTAGGATTAGATAGATAATTAAAGGGCAACTTTGTCTTCTAGCCACCTTATACTTGTGTTGCCTTCCCCAATTTAGTTAGCAACTACCTCCCCAATCCCTTCCTTTTTGCACGACTGGCACGCGCTTCTCCTTCTCGCACGACACTCACTGGAGAAGCTAAGAAAGATTAAAGACAAAAAGGAACAGATTGAGAAGGAGAGATGCGAAGACAAGCCAGAAGAAGCTGTTAGAGAAGAGAAAGAAAAGAGGGAAGGTGCTTGACGCTGCAGAGCCTATCAAGAAGACACCGAGAATGAGCTACAAGTGCGGGAGAGCCAGAGAAAGGCAGCTTTAATAATTAATTCTATATATTTTGCATTGATTTCATGTTTGTTCATGCCACTATTTTTATGGTTAAGCATGAGAACATGTAAATAAGTGAATCATCCAAAGAAGATTTGAATCATTAAAAACGGCAATATTTGCAATTACAATTAAAGACAAATTAGGTCCTATTGCTAATCAGTTATTCTTTCTATAATGTATAAAGGAGACATGCATGCTTGCAAACAATGATATTCATAAAAATCACAAATTAGAGAAGAGTATATATTATAGAAAGAATAAAATGATTATTACCTCCATTGTGTTGTCAAGGACGGTAACAGGAAGACAGAACGTCCAAGTTTTCGAGCAATCCTCAGAAGCCTGATGAAGGAAAAAGAAATTAAAATAAATGTCACCGATAAAAAAAATGTCATTAAAACTCTTGTTGAAATCCGTATTAGGGCAACACATGTTCCTGATCAATAATGATCCTAGAAAAAAAAAACAAATTATGCAAATTCATGGAAAATACGAAAAAGGTTTCTAAGTGATTTTTAAGGCCCAGTGGATGCACTAAATGTTAAAATACCTCAAGAAAATATGTTGAGTTTAAAAGCCTATTTTTGGATAATTATTTCGTATTTGGCCACATTCCATTATTCAAAAATTATGTAAATTCCTTAAGCGATTATATTTGGATGATCATTTGAAGTAATTATTTGAGGATTTTAGTGAATTAATATAAAATATTATCCCTCATGAAGAATTGAATTCATAAATTTCCATTTATTTTGGGCTTAGAAAATTGTAATTATTCCAAAATGATGTGAAATTATTTGAGAGCCAAATTGGACCCAATAAAAAGCAAGAAAAATCAGTATATAAAGGAGGTGTCATATCCCAAAATTTAAGCCTGTAAGCTCAAAAATAAGTTCAAATTAAGTAGTTTAGTAAGCCCTTTTCCCACGCCTATCTCTCTTGTGGCTAATTTTAAACGTTTTAGATCATCAACATTAGTTTTTCAAACTATTTTCTATCACATAATTTGATCAATTTATTTAATTAAGCTTCAATGCTGGTAATTTACAATTTATTTATTTAATTACTCCTATTATTCAAATAAATTCATTTTTTTTTGCAATTTTAAGGTATCAATATTGAAGGTTAATTAAATAAATTATGGTATATATGGTAAATTTTATCCCTCTATTTTGAAAACGTATATGAACCTTCTTAAAATTAAAATATATATCACACAAACCTTTCTCATACATTTGGGTTTTTATTTTCATCCATCCAACTATTAGTCAACCATTAAATTTGACTTTGAGCTTTTATTTTGACCAAAATACCACTCCTTCACATAAGAATTATTTAAACATGTAAATTTATTTTTATGCAAAACATTTATATTTGTTAAAAGACTACTTCTTTATGCAACCAAAAATTATTTTAATACAATTTATAATTCTGATTATATTATAAAATTTGTAATTTCAATAAAATTGTTATATATCAAATAAAACTAATAGTGAAAATATATTATAAGAAAACAAAGATCACAAAATTTGAATAATGGGAGAAATTCTCGTCGAGATTTTTCAATTGCAAAAACTATTCCCAGCAACTTATGCTTGAGTGTGTGATTATGGGGATTCCAAAAAAATATAATCAAATGGAATAAATCAACTACATAATTATTTATTTGAGGTTCAAACAGACTTTTGAGCTCTCACTGCTTAACTAAAAAGATATTTAAATGTTGAAAAACATAGTTATAAATTGTGATGAAAGATGATTTTATGCGTAACATTGGGAGAGGTTCGAGCCTCCATGCCGAACTCTGGGAGATTATCTGGGCATTGAAACGGGCCTGGGACATGCAGTGGCGTCGAGTCATTATCGAAACAGACTGCTGGGAGGCTGTTGAGTTGCTCTCGACTGGGTGGGCAGAGGACCATAGTGAAGGTCACCTGGTCACTGAAATCCGGAGCTGGTTGGACAAGGAGTGGCAAGTTTCCTTGGATCGGTATCACAGAGACGCTAATGGCGCTACTGACGCGTTGGCCAAAGAAGCTCTTAATATTGAGATAGGAGCTGTCTTCTTTAGTTCTCCACCTAGTTTATTAACGCCTCTTCTTGCTTCGGATATAGCCTAGTAGTTGTTATTTTTGTTTTGTATAAAAAAAAGATGATTTTTTTAAACATTAAATAATAATATATAGTTTGAATATTTACAATAATTATCCAAAAAATCGAGATTATATATAAATTATTCAACACAATATTTTAGATATGGCATGCACGTCCAAATGCCTCAATATTGGTGCTGATCTCATTTATACTAATCACTAAAATAGAAAGATTCTCATCAGTATATTAATTTGGAAACAACAAATGGCCCTGAAATTAGTCACGCATAGATTTTTTTATGTCAGATCTACGCAAAATAATATTTCTATATTAATCAAGCATTTATGCCCGTATATATGTTCTTGTTTAAGTGTACATGAGTACTGGCCATCATCAGGAGTGAGAAAATGCATTTTAGCTCTCCAAATTTATATATTTCCACTCTTCGAAGGTTGTGATTGAAGTTGTTGTGATCCTCACATATGTACCTCAAATTATGTAGATTCTCCATAGCCAAATTTTGGAGGCATGATAATGATAATGACTTTGATTCCATATCAATCGTTGGTTCCGTTAAGTTAAAACTAGCTACCTTCTATTTTGAATGTCTTCTACTTCTTGCATAATCATGTCACTGCATATTAAGTATTATGATGGAAAACAAATAATGAAGCATTTAAAATGCATTATTCTTTTATGTGTGTCAATTCAAATTATGACACGTTCGTATTACCTGCCCAGCACTTTGCTGAATCGCTACTTTTGAATCAAAATCAGATATGATGGTCAATTGTAAGCGTCCTTCACAAACTCCACCAGGCCACCACCTCACTCGATGCATATCAACAATAATTGATTAAAATATTAATTGTAAAGGAAATGATTATTTATTAAAATTTTGTGATCATTAAATTACTTATTATTTTGTTCTCTTTATTTTTTTCAGGACCAATACAAATAGTCAAACAGAATTATCCTCTTTATTTTCTTTAGTTTACTTTTTTTGGTCTTTACAAAAAGGGATGGTCTTGATCTGAACAGCAGAGCTCTGGTATTTGTAAAAGGTCAAAATCTAGTAACTAAATGAGTAGCTGAAAATAAAATTTAGATTTAAAAATTATATTATTGCGCATAAAAAATTTAAAAGCAATAATATATGAAATTGGAGTCTTTCAAACTCCTCTATACAATGTAGTTTTTTTTTTTCCCCTTTTCCCGAAGTAAGAAAACAATAAGAAGAGATGTCATAGCTAGTTGAAGGCACAGATACTTTTTTTCTTTTCTTTGCCAGCGGCACAAAGACTTTAAAAAGACGCAGTCAAGGTGCAGACGACTTAAAAGTTAACTTTAAAGATAGAATGCTCCCAAGTTTGATCAAAGAAAAGCTTATTAAACTTTCAAAAGTCCTTTTCATTGCGTGGAAGCACTCGATTCTTTTCACAGCTAGTTGAAAGCAATCACAGAGCGTAAGAACTGAGGTTCCTTTGTATGGAGTTGAGAAAGTGGATGGAGGAAGAAGGTGAAGGTAAGAACTGAGGACGAAGATCAGATCCCACTGTGGTTGTTGAAGTTTAGGAAGAAGAAGGAAAGGACACGAAGGAGATTTAAGAAAGAAGGGACGGGGAGTGAGGAAGATAGTGGAGAGAATGAGCTGTGGAATTGTTGGTGAAGTGTTACTGAAGATGATAAATAAGAAAGAGAATTATATTGTTGGGTGAAATTTATACTGTCGTATGAATTTTCAGGGAAATATATAATCCACAAGATTGGCATTTTCCTTACAGTTTCTGGTTACGAGGTTTTAGTCATCCCCTTTCGTTTTTTTTTTTTTTTTAATTCTGTGTCATAAAATTTGAAAGATCGCATAATATAGTAACCACATGCTTCGCTGGACAAATGTGATGTTATAGCCTACATTAAAAGCTTAAGTTAATTCATATATATACTTTGAATTATGATTATGATTTTCCCTTTTGTGTAATTCTGTACGTGAACCATTCACATGGAGACTCTACAAGCATTGGCAGGGGCATTGATTGATCAAAGGGCAGAGACATGAAAGAGGCAAGGCTGGCTGCTTTTTTTGCACCCCTCTTTGGGGAACAAGGCTGGCTGGTTTTTTACAGAAAAAACATGATCAAAAGTATTTGCATTTCCTTTTTGCGGTTTTCAACAACAAAATAAAATGTGTATCTTTTTCAAAGCTTGCCTGTTTTATGCAAACAATGAAACGATTTTGAAATGGTTGTTGAGGTCTTTAATAGTTTTCATTGAGTCATTGGGATAGAGCTGTCAGTAGACTTAACTTTTGACCACAGTAGCAATCTGTGATGGAAAATAAACTTGGTTCCGTCTCTTTCTCACCCTCTGATCATAACCACAATAATGGTAATGGTAAAATAGCCTGCAACTAATAAAATTATAAATGTGAAATAAACTGGCCTATTGAAAATGAAATAGCCACTGCATCGTTCATGCATTATTATTCAAAGGCAAAGTTGAAGCTCTAAACTCTATCACCAGACCATTTAAGTGTCAATCGATGGGTTTTATGCCCCCCAGTCCCAGTAATTTCTTCTTTTGTTTGTTCGTTTCTCCTCTAGATGGATGGTTAACTGGTGCTCATCTTTGCTTGATTGGTTTTGTGATTGTTTTTGTGTGCAGCTTCAAGTGCTTTAAGGGAGTGTGTTCTTGGATAGATTTTTCATCGTCTCCGCTTCTCTCTCACGGTTTATTCTCAGCTGCTGCTATAGGAGTGAACCGGATCTGTTTGTTCTCAGCTACTGCTCTAGGAGTGATCCAGTTCAGTGTCGTCTTTGGATGTTTCTTGCGTTCTTGTTTCTGCTCTTTTTTAGTTTTTTGGGTTTCTGTTGTTTTCTTTACGTTTAAACTTTGAGTCGTTCTGTTTGGTTTTTTATGATATTATACCTTTTCTGACCCAAAAAAAAAGACGTGTCAATCCATGGAAGAACAGAGAAAGAGACAAAGGCTGATGAGCAATCAAGTTTAAATGCCACTTTTACATTTTCATGACGGCATTAGTCAAATGGTGGAGGACAGAAATTACAGAAGCAATCCCCTCACGTAAGCAAGCTGCCTCCTTCACTTTCATTCAACCTATTCATCTCTCTGCTTCACTTTCGTTCATCTTATTCAATTGCACAAGACGTTTAATTACATTTCTTAATTATATAAAATGTCTGCGCATATTAGAAGTTGTTCAGTAGTTGATGGTTGTGTTGATAAACATACGATGCAACTTTATTTTTACAGGTATCTGACAAAAGATTTTTTAAGATTTTAAAAACGATTACTTTCTTGATATCTGCTTAAAAAAATGACCAAATAAACATTGACACAAGCAAAATCTTATAGGAATGTATGAATGCTAAGTCATTTGTTGTCTCGAGAAGTTCCAATGAAAAGGGTCAAACAAACCTAGGAATGCAAGTCACACAATAATCATAGTATAATAGCAGTTAGACACCAATGATCCAACAAATTAAATATAAGGCCAAATTTACCCATACATCATGTGAGTTTAAAATTCTGAAGTCTCGTTATTTGGTTGAACTAGGGAAAATGTGGTCAGAGTACAGCTTATGGTTCACTACTTTTCAGTCTTTTGAGCCAAACATGAAATAACAAAGCACAAATGAAACACATCTAAATTCCAAAAGCTCTGTCCTGGGCACTTATTATTCCCCTCAACTCCATCATCTTCTCTATTAGTTTCTTACGATCTTCCAACAGACCCCACAACTGAGAATCGATTGCTTCGGACTCACTCTGCACCATCTCCAATTGTCCTATCACCCCAGCAATCCGCTGTTTGATTTCTACTCTCTGCTTTCGAAATAGCTTCAACATAATGTCACGTGTCACCAGTTCTTCCTTCATCTCCTGAATTTTTTCTTCCACCTTCGTGACATCAAACATGTCATTGCCAGAAACTTTGTCTCGAACTGATTCAATCCATCCTTTGTCGAATTCTAAAAATGTTGCAGTACCCAAGTTTTCCTCTAAGGTCGATTTATCTGAGGTTCTAATGGTACGAGGTGTCTTGGTTGCCAACATGACCAAAATATCAGTCAGCACTCTGTAGGAGAAAGCTATTACAGAGCGGGTACGTTGTCCATGAGACAGCCTTAGCTGGGGATATAGCTCAAGTGCTGTGGATAGGAAAGCTGGTTCATCATCTTTTAACTCCACGAGTTCTAAGATTTCACCAATCTCCAGTATCGGAGAAGAAGAAGCTGCAACACCTGTTTGTGATTCTGACATGTGTACAGCCAAGAAAGTTAGCACATGACTGGAGAAGAATCTGAAGTCATCACCAAACGAAAGATACTCACGATGATGGGAGTATTGGGTCCATCCTGAACATTTATGCCTCTTATTTCTTTGGTAGTCTGCGAGGCACAAAATGAAAAATCAGTCTAACGACTTTCTTCCCTATTTATAAGCAGGTGAAAAGATAAAATTTGATTTATAATGTTACATAATATCATATAATTTATCTATTTATTCACTAATTATTTTTTCCTAGCATCATATCTATATTGGTTGAGAAAAGTAGTCGGAGACAAGGTCAATGATATAATTGTTTTTCTCCCTTAAATCCTATAGTTGTGGATATACAAAAGCAAAACAATCTACCAAACTTCAATTTCTATATAATTAATGTAGTTACCTGTGCAAATCCTTTTTCAAAAAGCATATGCGATGATCCTCTTGGTTGCTTCATTAACTCTAGATTGGATGATTGAATTGCTACTTTGTCTTCATTTAAATCGTGCCTTTGAAAGGCTTGTTTCACAGTTTCTTCCATACTAGCAACCTAGAAATCACAAGTTATTTAAATTCATTGCATTTCCGAATGTATAAACTCCAAAGTTCTGCATCATTATATACTGAACTTACCATCACAGGTGGACTTGATTGTGAGGCCTCTGCACGTGAATAAAAAGAGGAAGTATCTCCTTTAGCTTCCATTGTTGTAGTCTCCTCTTGAATGCTTTCAACG